ATAATCACATGGTCAAGAGAGAAGAGAAATGAATAGATATTTTATTGATATTCACAAATGTTTTTACAGAAAGATATACAAAGGAAATTTCTGAAGAATGGCTGGCCAGGGTAGGCTATATACATTGGGCTTAACAATTATATCTGTAATTGTCGCTCTTTACATTCCCCTAGTTTCCTCGGGTGAGATGCCTGAGCCAGGAGTGTAGATGCTGCAAGACGCTTGCTTCTAGAAGATAATTACTTGAACCACCTTTCGGTTTTCGATTCAAGTGATCGTTGCTTGCTTTGTTTTTGTATCTTATTCTTTTGCCCCTAATTTTTGCCTAGGACGTATCCTAGCGGGGATAAATTTGCCTTTGTTTTGCCTAGTACCCTTGTACTGGCGGGCTTTTTATTTTGCCCTAACTTTTGCCTAGGACGCCCTTTTCGGGTTTTCATCCTAGCAGGCCTATGCAAGCAACGTCTTCAAGCATAGTACTTCTTTACCACGTCAGCGTTGACTGGGTATCGAAGTTCTTCTCCATCCATGTCTGTGAGGATTAATGCTCCTCTTGAGAAGGCTCGCTTCACCACATATGGTCCTTAGTAGTTCGGGGCCCACTTTCCGATTTTGTCCTTTTGAGCTGGTAGCAACTTCTTCATTACCAACTCTCCCTCATGGTAGACTCGAGGGTGGACTTTCTTGTCAAAAGCCTTTTTGATCTTTCTCTGATAGGCTTGACCATGGCATATGGCGCTCAGCCGTTTCTCTTCAATAAGGTTCAGCTGGTCATATCGGCTTTGAACCCATTCTGCTTCGGAAAGCTTTGATTCCATGATTACCCTTAGAGAAGGTATCTCGACTTCGACGGGTAGAACTGCCTCCATCCTATAGACGAGGGAGAATGGAGTAGCTCCTGTAGATGTGCGTACTGAAGTCCTATAACCATGAAGAGCGAAGGGTAACATCTCATGCCAGTCTTTAAATGAGACAACCATCTTTTGCACAATTTTCTTGATGTTCTTGTTGGCTGCCTCGACTGCCCCATTCATCTTTGGCCGATATGGGGAAGAGTTGTGGTGTTGGATCTTGAATTCTTGGCACAGTTCTTCCACCATTTTGTTATTCAAATTAGATCCATTATCAGTGATGATTTTATCGGGAATACCGTATCTGCATATAATGTTCTTCTTGATGAAGGATGTTACCACCTTTCGGGTCACATGAGCATACGATGCCGCTTCTACCCATTTGGTGAAGTAGTCAATGGCCACAAGGATGAATCTATGTCCATTGGATGCTTTCGGCTCGATGGGTCCAATAACATCCATGCCCCACATTGCGAATGGCCAAGGTGAAGCCAATACATTGAGTGGAGTCGGTGGGACATGAATGTTGTCGGCGTATGCTTGACACTTATGGCATTTTCGCACGTACTGGTAACAATCCCTTTTCATGGTCGACCAGTAATATCCCGCCCTGAGGATCTTTTAGCCATTGCAGGCCCGGGGATATGGGTACCGAAAACCCCCTCATGTACTTCTTTGATCATATTTTGAGCTTCGACTTGGTCTATACATCTCAACAAGACCGAGTCATAATTTTTCTTGTAGAGGGTTTCACCGATTAGTTATTTGTGTCGAAGAAGGGAACTATCAAGAAGTTTTAGATTTTATTCTTCGTCCTGGAAAAGAACTTAAACTCACACCAACCACTTTTTCTCCCTCCTTCTTAGCCTCGAGATGTTATCTCCGATGGTGGTGTGAATATTATGTAGATAAGCTTGTCGATTTTGATGGTTTTTTGAAGAAGCTGATCAATTCTCCTCTTTCTTCTTCGCAGGGCCCCAAACAATCAGGTACTTTCAAGAACCGAAATATTATTTATCAATTCGAGCAATTCTTTAAAGTCTGTTATCGACCCGAAAACATTAGTCGAACCATCTTCGATGCATCTGTCTCTCTATCGAAAATGGTACAGAGGAACATCCGCTCAAAAAAGGTAATCAATCCTCGAGGGAAAACTGATTTCAAAAAATTTTGCCCTAAAAATATACCTCCTCTTCCAAATGCTCTTTTTGGTTTAGCTAAATATTTGTCTTATCCCCCTTGGGTAAAAACA